CTCTCATGCAGGCTCCTGCCTGCTGATGGGCAAACTCTATTGCATCTACTTTATGCAAATCTTCCCTAGCAACACAAAAACGTTTTAAAAGTCAAGAATATGAGAGATTTATTATGATGACAGATTTTATTTCCCAGCTTATTCTTTCATGTTCTTTAACAGCAGGTGACAAAGCAGTACCGAGTTAAAGGTCCAGGAAAGTTTCTCATCTCCTGCTGTTCTGGCGTCTCACTCAGTAGGACCTGAACGGATAGAATGGGAAAGGTTTCGCCTTTTTGTATCTGAACTCAAATCTCTTTCATTTTGAACTTACCTCCAGACTGTGGATTTCCAGCTGACTCAATTTCTCCTGAGCCGGACTGACCCGTATGAGCTGGCCTGCAGGCCCGAAGCTCACCACTGCGTGAGGGGTTGAGTACTTCATAGGAGCTGAGATCTGATGAACCGCTGGATGCCCTGGGCAGATCACAGCATGGGTAAGCATGGAGGCAACTGACTGTAAGATTGAGCTTTAATGTTCCACTGACCTCCATCAGTGATGAAAGGAGGCTGAATGTCCGGATCGCAGAGATCAGATCCGTTCATGTACTGACTCAGCTCATAGCTGCTGGAGGACAATCCTGAGGTTTTGGAGCTTTCTAGTGTCCCGGGCCAGTTGGAGGAAATCTCCTCGATGTCTTTATAATCACTGAAGTGATGCTTGGAGTTGTCTCTCCGCTGCTCATACCTGAAATATTAGGAAATTGAATTTAATGGATCCTTTTGATAAATAACAATGTTACTTTAACACCTACAGAGTTGAATATAACTCTGTTTAGATGACATTTGGTCCCATTCCTAATTAGTGTTTCCAGAGTTAAATTTACTCATATTAGTGTCAAAATCAAGAAGAACTGGCGGGTGATTGACTCCATACAGAGTAAAAGTTACACTGCAGAGCTGTTGAATTTTACACTGATTATTATTTACACCTTTGTAAATACTCCATTCAGAGTTAAATTGATTAACTCTGAATTCTTAAAGGAAAAGTCCGGTCAGCAAGGAATAATCAACGGATCATTATTTATACCTAAAAGTAATACATTTTCTGTGATTTAATTAATTTAGCGTTAATCGGTAAGAAAATAAAAACAATATTTTTCTTCGCGATCACTGAGACTGGGAGCGGC